CGCTGCAGTGGCTGATGCTCGGAAGCCTCAGCCCGCTGCAGTGGCTGATGCTCGGAAGCCTCAGCCCGCTGCAGTGGCTGATGCTCGGATTTGGAATGTGCTTTGGACCTCCGTTGTCTTGGTTGTCTCTCCCCCAGCTGCTTCTGTACCACTTCTAATTGGCAGCATAAAATGTTAGTGTTATAAGCCAAATCACATTAGGGTACAAGCCATTTTTAAACCACAGTTGCGATCACCATTATATGGTGCTGCTTCACTAACTCCGTGAAGCCATATGTGCTGTGTTTTGAATGAAAACAAACTTTGAAAGCGAGAGAGAGAGAGAGAGAGAGAGAGAGTACTATTGCATGAAGCACACCTGAGTAAGGCTGCACAATTCTGGGTGAAATATGAATCGCAATTTGTTTTACACTCAGAAACAACATTGTGATTTTCTCTCATGATTCATAAGTATTATTATTATTGTTATTATGAGCAGCAGTGAATGTGGCCCATAAGGGGATTGCTGGGATGAGCCCGACCTCAGCAGACCAGTCGTGTCCATGGGCCACTTATTCTTATTATATTTAGGGTTACATACTGTCTCTAAGAAGCTGGAACAAACAGTTTGTAAAATATATTGACTGACATATTGACATTGTTATCTGAGAAAGAATGGTGATGATTACATTTGGGGCGATCAGCCATTTTTTGTGCTGGGGGGTGATGTCTAACACTACCGCCCCCCAAAATGTTTATTATCCATCAGTAAATCGGACCCGTAGATCCACCTTTAATTTTTCACTTCAATTCCACTAATCTCAGCCAGAAAGCCTGGCAAGTTTCCCTGCTATTTTTGAATAAAAAGAAAATATGCAACTCTGTTTTCTTTAATGTGCTGCACTGTAAATGCTATGTTCAAACCTGTATTGAGTGCATTTAAAAGGATACATTGCTTTTGTATTTTTTTAATAGTTAATTTATTTTAATATTTTTTTACTTTACTAGGGTATTATTTCACTGGATAACTTTTACCCGAGTAACATTTTGGTATGCTCTCTGTACTTTGAGTACTTTTCCCACCACTGCCTATAGTAGCCAGGTGGCAGCATTGAGTCGTGGAAAAAGCACAAAAAGGATAAAATATGTTATTGAAAAATTTAAGGCTGCATTTTTAAAGTTATTAGGTGACAGTCTTCAGGAATAATAATTTTTTTTATATAAAAGCCTATAATAACGTTCTTCGGTTAACCCGTGTGTACGTGGGACTTTCAGGAAATGCTATTACTTTACTAAGGATAAAAACAGCGGTCGAGCGATGTCTGCAAATGCACCACTTAAATACAATCACTTTACCATGTTTGGTTTGCTTTGCTAATTGCAGTAAATTGTTGCGAATAAATAGTCTGTGGCATGATCTGAGAACAGCGTCCAACCTGAGTCCTATGACCATCGTCGTCAATGTAATCAACAATGTAAAAACCTCAACTTGTTCAAAAACTGTTCTTAGTCTTCAGGATTCAGGTATTTAATAATTTGTACAGTTATGGTTATTTGTGGCTTGATTTTAAATATATGGCAGATCACTAAAGACCTGAGGTATGTACACAAGGGCTTAAAAAGTAATAAGTACATATTGGAAGCAAATCATATCTTGAAATGTTCATCCTTGCATCAGAATATAGACCATTTAATATTTTGATGGTATCTCATGTGGTAATGCTGCGTCATGTGTTTTAAATTGATTATATCCCGAATTGAGCAAATCAAATCACAATCCTGTATCTGTCAGAAAAATCGCATTTAGATTTTTTCCCCAGATCGGTCAGACCTACATCTCTGAAACTTG